CTTTTCCTAACTACCCCTCACAGGCAGTTCTCAGGGTCCCGATCATTGGGGCACGCAGGCCAGGCTAGGGGCCTCCGAGCTGGGTCCCAGAGTGGGGCTCCCCATCTCCTCTGCACGCAGAGGATGCTGCTCCTCCAGGAAGCTGGGGTCAGATGAGTTCAGGGTGCTGCTAGTCGGCAGTGCCAGGGGCGGTGACGTGAACGCTGCCAGGAACAGACTTTCCAGGATGACTCCAGTTCTCCTGGGTCCTGCCCTGCCCCCAGAGATGCCCGTTCCTCAGGGCTCCTGTCTTGGTGGTCAGCACCTTGAGATGCCAATGTGCTCTGTTGCATGTCCCCTCTGTGTCCTGAAAGGTTTACAAAGACATCCCCGTGCTACCTACCGATGGTGACCCAGGCTATCCGCTCAGGCCTTTCCCAGCAGCTCATGGGGGTGGAACTCAGTGGGGGACCAGTGGTTCTCCAAGGACAGTGGCCCAGCATCCATGCCCCAGTAGAAACTGAGCCCCGGGTGGGGCCAGTGGCTTCCACCAGTGGACACGTCCTAGCAGCCCCATCTTTTGGATGAACCAGATTTTTCCTTCTCAACAGGAACTGGGTAAGTCAGGAAGTTCATTAATTGTGGTTGTTAGGATTTAGGGACCAAAGCCGGGACTCCACAACAGTGGAGCTACCAAATCAGGCCCACACGTGCAATGCTCGTGGCTGAGAAGCGTGAACTCCCAGGGCGGCCCACTGCTGTGTTTTAATAACCAGGGGACAGTCGGCTTGGTTTGCCTGCGCCGGGCGGTTGTCAGTGCTACACGCTCCTTCCTATCCATCCAGTCGTTCAAGCTTCATCTAGAAACACAATCCAGACCAGGTGTTACAGAAACAGAAAATGAGCTTTTTGGCCCAGGAATGTTAGATAAAACATACAGTGCTACACTTGTGCAAAAGCCGCACAGAAGCCAACCTGAAAAGCAAATGTTGAACGTTAGCTTTAATGGAATAATGCACGATATTGAAGTGTTCGCGGCGGCAGACCTTGCTTATCTGCAGCTGCCTGCCTCCCGCAACGTCCCCTGCCTGTGGCCCATGGCCTCCAGGGCCCGGGGGCCTGGCTTTGGGAGCACAAGTCCAGGCAGTTATTGCCTTTGGGTTGAGCTTTGAGCAGAGGCGGAGGTAAGCCGTGGCCCTCCTGGGTGGCTGTGAGCAGCTGTGGTGTTGTTGGCCAGGCCACCAGGGTGGGTACCCCTGGCAGGCTTTCTCGGGCAGGGCCTGGGGAACGCCCATCCCCAGACTGAGAAACAAGCCTGTTCCTTATGGTCTGTTACCTGCCAGAGCGTGGACATGCTTCTGGAGTGGACAGCCTCATGGTAAGTGGGGCAGGTGCACTTAGACAAAGGGCCGGGCTGTGGGGTGCAGGAAGGAGCTGGGGGACAGTGTGGGGCTGCCTGGGGAGTCTGGGTGCACAGACAGAGCTGTGTTCCCTTGGGAGGCTTGAGTTGGGGTGGGGCAAGATCTGGGACCCCATCACCTGGTCCTCAGTGGAGAGAAAGACAGGGCCACTGGCTTGGCCAGGCCCAGAACCTGCTCTGCAGAAGACAGCACCACGGCTGGTTGTCCTGGGGGTAGCGGGGACGGAGTGTCTATATTCCGGTCTCCTGACTCTGGGCTGAAACTGGGGACGTGCTATCAGCTCTTCTGAGCCCGTTGCGCCTCCATGATGGCTGGGTTAGGCGCCCTGTGCAGGACAGCTGCTGCTGTTTGAACATCTCAGCAGTTGGCAGAAAGCTCATCTTAAGCTCCTGGGAGCAGGCTTTGTTCCCAAACCCTTGCTGGTGACCCTCCTTCCTCATGCTTTGATCTCCCAAGACGGCATTGTCTCTTTAAGGCCCCATCCTGTGTGTCCCCTGGAGTCAGGAGCCCCTGGGTGGGCCTCTACCCACACAGAGGGGCGGCATCTCCAGTGAAAGTCACCTGCTGGCCAAGGGCCCCCCCTGGAGTAGTGCCGGCCGGCTGCCCCCGCGGTGCTGCAGTCTGCAATCGCTGGCCCGGTGCTGGGTCCCCCCGTGCAGTGTGGATTCCAGGGGGAGCCTCTGAGAAGGCCCTTCCTGGGTCAGAGCAGCGTCTGGGCAGGTGCGCCCCAGCCTCCCCCTCCCCTCCTGGTGGCTCTGGTTTGCTCTTCTCAGGCCAGCCAGCCACCACTTCTCGTCCTGAGTCTTGTTTCATGGGGAGGAAGAGCGACACAGGAGATGGTGCTGGGGACGGACACTGATGATGTCCCACCCTCACTGATGGAGACGGTGAACAGCTCTGGAAGGGACTCTGCTGTGTGGCGGTGTGGCCTCGAGGGGGAGAGAGGCCATCCCTTGTCGTGTATCTCTGAAGGGGAGGCTTTGTTTTGCAGGTTTCAACCTTGGTGGCTCCCAGAATTCTCTAGGCTCAAGGAGACACAGCGAGCTTCACCTGGTCCTTTTGGCCGGGGATGTTTTTTCCACTGAGGGGTCATGGGGGCTCAGGTGGCTCCAGGTAGAGGGCCCCTGACCACGTGTCCCGGGCAGAACTGTGCACCAAGATCCTGGTTCATCTCGCCCGGCCTGGGCGCCTCTGCCCTTCCTCTGGGAAGCAGGGGCTCTGTCGTGCCCAGCCCCCACACCCATGATCGCAGGGAGTACCGTGAGCAGCGGGGATGGCACTGCTACCAACCGTGTTGAGGGGCCCACAGTTATGGATTTGGGGAGCTGTGCTGATGTGCACGTCACATGCTTATCTGAGTGAGGAAGAGGGGCGCGAGCTGCTGGCCAGACGACCCCAGGGCCTGTGCAGGATCACTGACGGGCTGTGACAGGAAGCGGCCCGCGTGGCCTGGGAACGTGATTGTAGAACTGACGTTCTGGGAGGAAGGGCAGGCTCCTGGAGTAACTCGGCTCTCGTGTGGGGGCCGGTTTCTTTCTCAGCAGGTTGAGCGTCTCTCGGGTGCGGCTCTGGGTGCCTCTTTTGGTTTGGGTTCCTGACTCCGGGTGCGGGCCGAGGAGTGAGGACAGGGTCACTCTCAGATGCTTCAGGGCAGCTCTGGAAAAGCAGGCAGACGGCCAGGCTCGGCGGTGAGTAGTCAGAGGTGGGGCAGAGAGCACAGAGACTGGTGTTCACTGGGCATCAAAGACCCACTTCAAAACAGCCAACATGGCATAAAACCAACCCAGGGAGGTGTGACTGGGAGCAAAAGGGGGGATGCTGAGCTTCCAGGGAGCCCTTGTTTACTCAGTCCAGCAGCTCTGTGGTCACAGGGCCAGGCACAGTGGCCCAGGACCGCCCACGGGGGTGTGGGACCCAGGAGGCACGGCTGGCGGCTGCCTTGGCAATGAGGAGGGAGGAGAGCAGACTGTGTCCTAGGACGTGGATATCTCCTTGGTCCTCTAACTCTCCCCAGCCCTCCTGCTGCCATCAGCCAAGGGCAAGGCTGCCTGGGCCTCACCTGGCCATAGTCGACCTGCTGGAGTTCCCACAGAGCCACTCGGCTACCTTCTGTGTCTCTGCGGGGCTGTGCGAGCACCCTCCCAGCTTCCCTGACGGTGTCTGGCCAGTAGGGAACGAGTGGCAAAGCTCTCCTTTGCCGGGCTCTTCCAGCAGGAGGTGCCGAGTGCTGGCCTCGCCTCGCTGCTATGTCGGAAGCCTACGGGTGTGCAGGCATGGCAGCCAACAGCCTGTCCCTGATCAGTGTTGATGCACTCTTACGTCATCAGACACCCCTAAGTCTTGAGCTCCCCAGCTGTGAGAGGCCCAGACCAGCTGGTCCCTGTGGGTGCTGTACCCCTCGCTTTCCTCTCGCTGTCTTCCAGCATTTCCTCTGGAAGACGCAGAGGCTTCGTGACTGCTTGGTGTGGGGGTGGGCACTTGCTGGGGGAGATGATGCCATGATCCTGGATGTCTGACGCCACAGCTCCGTCCTGTGAGGAAGGTGCACAGAGGGCACCTTGCCACACCGCTTGTCCTTGTCCCTTTCCCAGCTGCCCAGACTCTCTGCACCGAGTCCCTGCTCTGAGCTGGAGGGACTGAGGGCTGCACTCTGGGTACAAACAGGGTTTTCCTCTCTGAAAGCGTGGGAAGGGGACAGGCAACACCTCATGAATGTGTCTCTAGGGGAAATTTGTGATCTGTTCCAGAGGGGATGCATGTCCAATTTCAGAGAGAGTGTGCTGAGGCAGGAGACTTGGAGCCCAGCCCAAAGCCTGTGGGCTGATGGAACCGTCCACAGTGGCTCCCAGAACTGAGGTCGTCGCCTATGAGGCAAGTCCTCTGGTTTTCAGACAAGTCAGAGGCTCCCATGTTGGGCCACTGGGCTGGCGTCTAAACCCCTGATGAGATGCAGTTGGGCCCAGGCTACCCCAGGTTTCCCACATGGGCTCATCCTTCCAGAAGCCAATGCTGGCGTGGGGTTGGGGAGAGTCTACCAAGAACCAGAGTTGGGCATGACTGATGGGTTCTGGGCAAAGGGCTGCTGAAGCATCGTGTTGTCCTGGGAGAGACGCTGACGGGAGTGACTGTTACCACGGTGGTGGGTGTCTCATGACACTGTCTGGGTAAACGGGCACAGAACAAGACCCCTGACGCTGCAGGTCCAGAGGCTGTAGCAGGCAATTACGTAAAACAGAAAAGAAGACGGTCGCAGACATTCTGATTCCCACGCGGGAGTCAAGAGGTGGTTTGTGAAGGAACCTTCTGGCATCCGGGTGTGCGTCTCGACCAGGGGCCAACCTGCCCGGTGCCGACCCTCCTGCCTGCCCTGAGCTGGGACAGGGTACATGCCCCCACTGCCAGGGCGGAACCTGGAAGGGTAGTGACATGTGCCTGAGTCTGTCCGGCGAGGGGCCACCTTGGCTCTCTGAGGACAGGGACGGTGGGTGGCTTTGAGACTGACCAGTTTAATCAGGTATCATGTGACCGGTGGGGAGGGTGTGGTCTTGGGGTTCACCAGGCAGTGCAGCACGTGGGGCCTGTATCTGGGCTCTGGCAAGGTCAGAGGTCACCGCTCTGTGGTTCCACGTTGCGCGTCTCCCTGGGGTGGCTTCGGGACAGCTTGGGGAAGCGGGATGCCACTTTGGGGCGACTGTTCTTGTTCACTGGTTCCCCAGGAGGTGTGATGTCACTGCAAGACAGAGGGGAGAAATGGGTTAGGTCAGGGCTCCAGACTCAAGCGGCTACCTGTGGGCCAGGCATTAGGCTAGTGGAGTGGCCATGGTCCCAGTGGCCCAGGCGTGAGACCAGCGGAGTAGCCACAGTTTAAGGGACAGCTGTGACTCAGTTATGATTAATGAGTATCACTTGGAGAGATGAGAATTCCTACTTCTGTGTAAAATTCCCATCTTTTGAAAGCACTGTAAGGGCCCACCCGCACAGCTGTGTGCCCAATCCAGCCCATGGGACTCAGTGGGCCAGGAACCTATCTGAGGGGTTGGAAAGAACGTTGTAGCCAAGCTTTCTTTGCTGCTCTTCAATGATCTGCCAGCCAAGGTGCAGTTCAAAGTCAGAGAAGGTGCTTTGGGAACATTGTCTGTGTGGTCATAAACCACGCGATGGTGACTCTTGTGGGGCTTCTCCTGAGGGAATATGGAATTGGCCGGGGTCGGTAGGGGTGTTTACCACAGCACTCCATGAAAGGGCACAAAGTAAGGAACAATCTAAGAGTGTAAGAAGAGGGGACTATGGGGTCCTGGTTAGGAAATAAGGAGCTCTGGAGGTGTAGTACCTAAGGCATTTGACTGCTAACCAGAAGGGTGGCAGTTCAAACCCACCAACGGCTCCGTGGAAGCAAGATGGAGTGATCTACTTTGGTAAAGATTTGCCGCCTTGGAAACCCAGTAGGGGTTGCTATGAGTTGGAATCGACTCGATGGCAGTGAATTTGGTTGTGAAATGACAGGACAGAGTGTGGCCGCAAGAGATGGTGAGGCAGGCGCATGTTACTGGCCTAGAGAGGTGTTCTAGAAACATTACTGGAACCCAGGTTAAAACCAAACAGGTGGAGCGTAGCCCCCAGGTACAGAGGACTCTGAGGGCCATGTTTGTCCATCCCTTCAGTCCATGACCCTTTCTGGAGCACCAAGCGCTGCTCTGGGCCCAGAGACATACCTGTGAATGAACAGAACCCTTATAGTTCCAGGAGTTCATACCCTAAGGAGGGTGGGGCGTCAACTCAACAAAGGGGGCCGCAAATGTACCCACGCATCCCATGGAGCAGCCCCAGGTTGGTGCTGAAAGATGGCAGGAGGTGGTAAGGGAACAGCACAGCTGGAGAGCTGGGGCGGGCGGGCCTTCAGGTGCACCCTGAGAGTGCGGGTCCCAAGGGCTCTCGGCAGGGCACCCCAGCTCATCTGAGGAGAGGGCAGGGGCCCGTAAGGTGCACCCTGAGGTGTAGGCCCCCCAACAGGCTCTTGGCAGGGCACCCCAGCTCAACTGAGGACAGGGCAGGGGCCCGTAAGGTGAACCCTGAGGTGCAGGCCCCCCAACAGGCTCTTGGCAGGGTACCCCATCACTCAGTTGCATTGTTAGTGGCTTAAAACAACAAACAGTGTCTTTCAGCTCTGGAGGGGAGAGTTTGAAATAGATCTCAGGGCTCCAGTTGGGGGGTCAGCCCCGCTGGAGCCCCCTGATGACCAGCAGGTGGGAAGGCAGTGGATCCAAAGGTCTGGATCCCACTGAGAGGGCTGACCGAAGTGAACAGAATGGGGTCCTTGGCATATATAGGGTGAACCCCACAAGATGGCCTGATGGTGGTACTTTTGCATGGTCACTTAGGGTATCAGCAAGGTCCCTGAGTGGACTTATCACCTAAGGAGGTGTGGGGGGGTCCAGCCCAAGCAGTGGTGCTGCCCAAGAAAGGCTGGTGATCTGCTGAGTAAAGACCACACGTGGACTCTGTCACATGGAGCCACTGTGGATCAGGATTGGCTCCGAGGCTCTGGGTGTGGCTTTTCTGGGGCAGTGGTGGTGCATGGTGGAAGTCTCACCTTCCATGTGGGAGACCTGGGTTCAATTCTTGGCCACTGCACCTCGTGTGCGGCCACCATGTCTGTCCACGGAGGCTCGCATGTTGATACGATGGGACCAGGTATCAGTGGAGCTTCCAGGCAATGAAAATGCCACGGATCACGGCGGCCCTATCTGCAGGGATCAGGGAAGGCGTGAGACCAGGCGGGCTTTCTCGTGCCAGTGTGCACAGGGTCTGAGTTGGGCAGACTCCACGGCCGCTAACGACGGCACTTGGAAGGCAGGGCGCACTGGATTGTGAGTCTCTGTGTACTCAGAAGAGATGGGGGTTCAGAGGTGGATGGAGAAAGAGGCAGAGCCCCGCCTCCAAAGGGAATCTGCCTGGGGTCCCTCCTTGTAGGAGGGAGATGTGCCCAGTGCCATGTTCACCCCAGACTCATGGCCATCCACACAGCCCGACTGCTGTGCCCAGGGAATCCAGAGGCCACTCGTTTAGAGGGACAGCCTTAAGTAAGGAATGGCAGTTGATGTTTAAGCAGGTGCCCCGAGCCTGTCACGGGTCTGTGTGCTCAATGGATCTTCAGCCCTCATCAGTGCTAGTGTGACTGCGGATGACAGCACTGTTTCCCAGCCTGCTCCAGTGACAGGCTTCAGGCAAGCTGTCTGGGCTCTGCCATGACTGTAGGCAGGCGTGGTGGCTTGGGAAGAGAGGGGCCGCTGAGTGTGCTCAAAGGACACAGTCCTCAACAGCAGCTTGGTTTCTGTAGCCATTGTGTGTGCCCTAGTCTGGCAGGAAGCTGTCCCCCGTACGGATGGCGTTCCTAAGGCCATGTGTGCCCAGGGACTTCCCTTCCCATTCTAAGAGAACCTGGGCTCCTTCAGTCAGACACTGTAGGACTCGGAGGAAGGTGCTAGGCCTCCCCAAGCCTCAGTTTCCTCATCTGTGAAATGGGCACGATGCCAGTCGTGCCCACCATTCACACATTACTCACCACCTGTGGACTGGGTCTGTCTGGATCGGACATAGATTCAGCTTCTTCGAGGCCCTGGGGTAACAGCAATAAGAACGTGACAGGCACAGACTGTCTGGTGACATCTCAGAATTGTTACTGGTGGGGGGCACTGGTGCACCATGGGAACGAGGTGGGGCTTTGACAAACTTCAGAAACACAGCCCCTCAGCTGCTACACCCACCTGACCTGGGGGAGTGGGGCTGGGAGGTGGCTGGAAGACCCTTCCCTGGAGGCCGTCCTAGCCTTCTGGAGCAGCATCAGCATCTTGGATCTGCAGTCCCTGGACACCTGACCTTGATCCGTCAGCGTGGTCTTGAGTCTTACCCAAACCAGTGGCCGTGGAAGTGTCTGCTCATGAACCCATGTGGGCTCCACGGGGTTGGTGAGTGGCTGGGTTTGCAGAAGCTGATCACCAGGCCTGCCTTCCAAGGTGCCTCTGGGGGGATGCCAACCTTTCAGTTAGCAACTGAGGGTATTAACTGTTTGTGCCACTCAGGAGCCCTAAAAAGTTACAGGGACAGCAGAGGGGTGAGGGGTGGGTGATCAGCTAGCAGCTTCCACACAGCTTGAAGAGAAGGCAGGCAGCAAACAGGTGCTTTGCTTAAGACATGGCCACTAACAAGGGAAGACCATCCTGGCCCTCGTGTGAATGGAGATCAAGCCTTTGTAAGATGATTAGTGTTTCCCCTTAGCCAGGGCAGGCCTTGTGTAAGGCTCACTGGAATAAACACTAAAGACAAGACCTTCCAAGGGTGACCTTGTCTAGCCAGGGCCGTGTGGGGGAGATGAGTGACCATACTACCCATACACAGCACTGGAGCCAGGTGGGCACAGAGGGGGTTGCCCAGCTCTGACTGGAGAAGTGGGCTCCGGAAGACTGCCTGGAGGAGGTGCCCAGGCCGAGTCCTGATGAGTGACTAAGGCTCCGTTGAGTAGACAGGGGAGGAAGGCACTCCAGACAGGAAGAGGGGCCAAGGCCCCAAGGGCAGACAGGACGTGGTGCCTGGGGCTGTCCCGTCTGCAGGGCCGTGTGCAGACAAGGAGCCCGGGAGGTGAGGCAGGGAGCCCTTTGGTTTCTGTGGGGCAACACCTTCGTATGGACGTGGCCCTTGGCTACTACTGACGCCCATCCCTAGGGTGGAGCAGCTCAGCCCGTGCTGAGAGACAATCCCCATGTTCCCTGTCACTGGGCCTGACCCACAGGCCAAGAACGTTACCCACTGTGGTGGGCTGTGAAACTGGCCACACTAGGGCACACACATACAGTCCAACCACTGTGCCTGAGGTACAGCTGTCATGGAGATTAACAGCATCATAGTCATAATCGAGGACAGGGATGCAGAACACAGCTCGTGAGGTTTGTGAGTTCCTTCTATGCTGCCCTGCTGTCCCTCACATGGGGGACACTCTTGGGTTGGTTCCAGGTCAAACTGGACTTTCACAGCCATTGGTCCTGACGACTTTGAGGCACCTCGGTATTTAGGGTCATGGGGGAGGTCTGTCCTGGGGCTCTTTCAGAAGCATAGTACCTCTATCACAGGAAGTGGCCTTCACCGAGGCCCAAAGGCGCCCTGCTCAGAGCAGATGAGACCACCCTGTCTCCCCACATCCGTGTGTTTCTTCTACAATGTCCACAAATACGGGTTTTTTTCCTTTTTTATTGTGATTTGAGTCAAATTTTACAAAGCAGATTAGTTTTACACTCAACAGTTCACACACCTTTTGTCCTGTGACACTCGTTGCAGATCCCCACGTGTAACAGCTCTCTCCCCACTTCCTCCCTGTGTCCTCCTGGCCTATGCATTTCCCATCCGCCTTCATGTCTCCCTGTGCAAATGCTGCCCTCTGCATGCCCATGCTCGACTGTTCCACGGAGAGTCTTCTCTGGCATAACTGTTCTGCTTGTAGGCCTGTCTGCTGTTTGGCTAAGAGTTAAACCACACGAGAGTCCAATTCCAGGCCTGAAGGGTGACTCGGGGCTGTAGTCTTAAGGCTTTCACCAGTCTCTGTACGACCTGAATTTTTGTTCCATGTTTCTTTTTCTTTGACTCTATCCAGGATCTCCTATTTTGATCCCTTTCTGAGTGGCTGACATTGGACACTATCTAGTTCTTCTGGTCTCAGGGTCATGTAGGCTGAGATTCCCT